TATATATATATATATCATATGCATATATCAGGAAATTTGGTTAAAAAGGGAAAATGAGTTATATCAGAATGATTCCCCGTAGTTTGTTGCATTTCCTTTCTGCCAAAAGTATGTTGTGTGAACATCAAATGTTCCCACTTCAATAATATACTACTAACTGCTCCGGAGGACATGATAAATGTGATATCACAACAGACCTAAAGCCAAAGTTGAAGCCAGTGGTGCATCCACACGTTTCGCTCTGCAAAAAGCAGTCTTCGGATAACAGAAACTTGAAGTTCTTGCTTGTCTCTTCGTGACCGTGCGCTTACAGCAGCACATTCTGCTTTCCATACACTGGCCATTACTTGCCTGTCTTAACTGAAAATTATTTTAATGCTACACATACAGTTTTGTCGCCGAGCTGAATAAAATACGTTCGTTTTGCTTCATGTTTCTGTCAACACTTTGTCTCTCAGTGCCACCGATTCCAACAGAGTGCCCAATTTGGAAATAATTAACCCAGATTGAATTTTATATGTCATGAGCAACTATGCTTTTAGTAAGCCACAAAAATATTCAGAACTGTGTTTTTCCTACCAGTAGAAGGCCGAGCCACCAGAGAAGAACGGTGCCGTTGTCTGAACTTCGATCACTCCATAATCGACATACAGGTAACAACGAGCCCTTTCCTAAATTAGCTTGGAATTATTTTATCACCAAAACAATTCCACGAGAGCTACCTAATCCATTGGTTTCACTGATTGTTTAAGCGGAAAAAGCCGGCAAACTTACAGAGTGACAAACTTAGCGGTGAATAACTCAACGCCAGCATTTTCCACCATAACAAACTGAAACATTTTGGCTCCAGTTATCTTTGATTTTCCGAATTCAAGCAGGAAAAGCACGGGCTTGTAGGGCAGTCACACTATGTGGCAAAATACAAAAAGATTTGGGCGGACGTCGCTATGTTCACTCGCAGATTAAGCGACAATTTTGTGTGACCTAAACCCTCTTGTAGTGTTCCATGCGTAGGTGCTAGTAAATTCCCGCTCCGTCAACCTACTCTACTCTTTTTTTGGTTTTTCAATAACAATGAAGCAAAGTGATCAAAAAGTCGAAGTGACCGTAGAAGCACAGTAGCACTTAGTAGTACACAAACACATTCAGAAATGAGGTGGGAAGCATCAAGGGAACTGCCATGGTTATATGCTACCTATTTCAATAGTCTGGCATGCTCAATTAGATATACAGACAAGAAGCTTCATAGCAAAAATTGTGTCCGATTGCCCTGCCCCAACCAAAGAATGGGAAGTTCACCAAGTTTCCCTATATTTTATCCATGCTGCTGCGATTTATACGTATGTTAGATACTTGACACCTCATCTTTTGTTCATTTTCTCACGTAACTGATAACTGTCCTAATTTTCACCCAAAATGAAGCTTTCCGTTTTTTTGGCAGCTAAATATGCAGTCACGACCGGCACCCATATCTCTGGTATGCAGAATACTGTTGATAACATTCATGGGTGGAGTCATTTGCCTTCCTACTGGAGAAGAAGAGGCATATGAACGATTCCTTTCAGCTACACAAGATTACATGTACCCTGAGCTCAACAATGAGCGAGCCAACACCCGTAAGTGCGGATAGTTATTCAAGATGTGCATTGATGTCAGATTTATTAAAAAAAGCTTACTTTTATGATTTTGAGGTACAATTCAAACACTTTCTCTTTACTAACTGTTTGCGCTTCTGATCCTCCAGAAGTGGAATGACCTGAGGTGAGTAATCTAGGTGATTCATTTAAAAGTGTAAACTAGGCGCCGCACCTGCTTATGTTTGAATACTTACACTTACTTGTACATATGAAGCCAATCCCGTTCAAGCTATGACTCTGATTTGATTTATTCAGAGATCAAACACTGGACGACGGTTCTGACCATGTACAACTTACAATTCAAAACTGTAATACTGAATTTTTTTTCTTTTCTTGCCTATCCCTGATGAGGATATCCGTGACTCTTCTTCGTCTCCCACCTACAAAACACAAGGCTATTTCGGATGCAAGATTTCAGAAATCACGAATTTAGTTCTTCTATGCGGCATGGCTAACTCACAAGTTCGACTGTCCTTAAGTTTGTTGAACTTGTATCCAAAAGCTTCGTGTATGAAATGTAATAATACTAAATGTCTGTTGTGTTAACCTGAACAAATCCCTGGTGTTTTTTCATCCAGTAAGTTTCACTCGTCCGAAAACTGCGTTTTCTCTGTTAGTCAACTCCACTGACATCAGGACTGATAACTGCTGAGTCACTGATTTACGATTCATTCGGACTTCTTTGTATGAGCCATTCGCAAATCTACCAACCGACAAAATGTTAACCCTTTAGCACAATGCATATCTTACCTAGAATTGCTTAATTAAATGCAGTATATTTTCTCACATCTCCATTCTCCACAACGTCATTCATTTTCCTACATTTTTTTGGAAAATAAAAGTACATTTGCACATTCTAAAAATGGCAGATTACCCACCTTTTGAACTAACAGGTTGAACCACTTTGCTGTGTGCTTTTAGCGCGCTATTGTCAATTACAGCCACAACTTTCGCAAAACGTCGCTCAGATTTAACACAGGGACTTTAACGTCGTTGCCTTGTGGCACAAATAAAATTTGTAAAAAAAATCCCGGGATCAATGTCATTTATGGAGTCAGAGAAAATCCTTTCAATCATATCCATTTGTTTCCTGAAAATGCGCATGTCACTGTTTACTACGGTTCTAAGAGCAGATAGTGCGTGACAAAGACTAAAATATTTTGTAAACCAATAGCGAAATTCTCCTTCATTTTTACAGGTGAAACACTGCCGTTTCTATGTGAACAGGTTATCGTGGGTATTCCATGATGACAATCAGAACCTTTGAGATTAAATTGTGATTAGCAGTGCGTTACATTCCGGTATTTGTAGGTTCTTCAATTCATTTAATTTATAGGTACAGAGGCTACAGCATTTCTCGTAGTCACGTACCTAATAATTGCTCGTCTGTAAAATAGCCCCGTACAGCAGCTTAACAGGTGTAAAAGCTCAAGCCGCTTGCTACATATAAGAGCTGTACACGGTATAATCCAAGTACTTCGCTGAGCAATACATCATAAAAACTTTTGCAAGTAATAGTTCCACTCCAGTCTCAACAGGCTGGATATTTGATTTTAGATATTAAACGTGATATGAGACATAATACATGTGAATATATATCGAGATGTGATGCACGCTTTTGACAGACAAGAAGCGAAATAACTTTTTTTGGAAAGAGTCAGAACATTTTATCTATTTTTATTTTTCATTCCACTTTTATTCTCAGAAGTCTGCCATCCATAAGAGACTTACTTCTCTGTCTACATTATTTACTGAGCGTTAAGGAAGAATCGTTTTTTGGCATTCACAGACTGGCCTCAGAATAGAGGTTTTACACTTAAGTTTAACAAACCATTGAGTACCTGACCGGAAGCCTGGCGTGCCATTGTCTCAAACTCCATTATTTGTGACCAGGCGGCTAGCTCACCAAACTCGAATGATGAGTGTAATGTTTTTTCGTGGATTTTGTGGCACCTCAATCTTTCAAAAACACTATTTGTGCAAATAAAGGTAATATTTCGAAGCAACAGTCGTCGCGTTTGCCCTATAGTTCATGAGCAGCAGGCCAAGTGAACAAAGCCGGACTACAGCTCACGTCTCCCATCTGTATTTTCATGTCGTAACTTCACATCGCTAGTTGCCACTGCTCTGGAATCTGGTACCTAAGCGTTAGAAAAGTTAATCTACCGTTGGCGCCAAACCACCACTTCCTTTATGAAACATGCATCATCGCATGCAGGTAGATATCACCTGAAACTCTAGTTTTGTAAGCTTTTTTGACCCTATTGCAACATAGTTACAGTTATCTGATGAAATCTAGTACAGTAACTGTTCTTTATATTAGTGTAAGGTAGTTGGCTTCGATTAACCCGAGCAATTTCTCTGATCGAGCTGCCTCTTGCTGACTCCAGAATAAAATCTCACTATTGAGACTAATATGGAACACACGAATTGGACGGATGCAAAGAAGTGATCGTCAAAGGAAAAAAGTAGGCAGCGAATATGGCAGTTATTCTAGAGCCGTTAGAAAATGCAAATCAGTTCTAGAATACTGCGTAAGCTACGTTGCTATGTGTAATGCAAGGAGTCAGAGACAGTTTTACTTCCAATAAAATACCTTTTATCTCTGACTTAGTAAGGGTAGTTACGGTCCCCTCCGAAGTTCATGAGGTTTCCTCAAGAACGCAGCACACCAATCCGTCAACAATTAAAACACATGGAATTGCAATTGTGAAAGCCTAACAAATCTTCCTTTTGCTTAATATTATACAGCGGATTGGCGATTGTTAATAAAACGGTAGTCCGTTTTATAGTTTACCTTAGGGCCATGACAGTAGGTTGCATGAAGGAACGCTCCCTTTTTTCTCAGTCATTTCTTCTTATGGATGACTGGATATTATACGGACCTCGTCTGCTTAACGAGCTAACCTGCCATGCAAGCTGTTCTATTTATAGCTCCGTTATGGCTCCGGTTGTACCAGACTTAATGTGAACGCACTTGTAGATAAGAGAATTCTTTGATGGAACTCCCATTTAACAGCTTTTGCGCACAGTAGTGTCCAACTGAAGAAGACTTCAAATGGCAGGCATCCACAGTTATGTGTGAAAAACAGTACACCGTGACTTGTTCTGTAAACGGTAGTTTGTCCTTGTTAATCGGCCAATAAAATTTAAAATAGCCAAAACTTTCGGTTGCATTTTTGAGTAGAAACGAATCCTACTTTGGAAAAATTTCAGTCACAAGTTTCGGGGAAGTAATGACGAATAATAATTGAGGAGGTGTTACATTAAGTTTCACTGAAGCACCAAATACATGCTTATTCTGTTTTATGCTCATTCAGTTACAATTCCCTGTGTCCGGCCTTACTGATATGTTAAAATAAGAGAGGTCTCTCTGGAATCAAAATGTACAAGACTAGAAGGATTATTGACAAACAACTGCGTGGATGTTTATTAATGACAAATCTTCAATGGCAGAAGCCATGTATTGGTGCTTACGGCGGTTTTCTTTTTTTTAACGTGGAAGAACTCGTTTTTTCTTTCTTTCGCAGAAAGGATTCCTAGGCGTGTTATTCTAGCTCGTATTTACTAAAACCATTCGAATATGCATTGATAACCAAATCGCAGGAGAGTCTAGGCAGCACCATATTGCCTTAAATGGTCTAAATAAATCTTTTAACTGGGACTATGAACAAGAGCAAAGGAACAAGTTTTCAGAATTGTTATCAAAACTTGGAAATAATCTATCAGTGTCAGTCAACCACGCGTAGTCGAGTAAAGAAGTGTCTACCCACTTTCCTCGAAGAATCTTTTACTTTCTGGTTTTTCAAACTAAGAGTTAGTAAGGATATCTGGTGAGAACGGGACTTTTTCTCTGTTCCGTCAGCAACACTCTGGTACCCACTCCAATCTCCTCTTATTCTTCTGGGTAGGCATCCACATTGGTGTATTGAGCGTGGCACACATTCAGCGCCTCACACACTACTCGCTATGAACATACTTTTGATGGTTCAACCAACATTGAACGGAAAATACGATAAAAATGTTACATAAGTACAGCTGAATTTTGCAGACATGTTGAGTCATATATAATATTCTGAACTGCTGAACTGAGCCCAAAATTTCAGCAGCCCTCCGAATTTATTTACGCCATGCTATCTGGTTGATTCACAAGCCTACACAAGAAGCTGTCCTGTTTTTAGGCTTTTTACACGGCTCTCCATTTTTGCAAGCATTTAAGGAGTGCATATATGTTGCAGTTGGTTTATTGCATTCCTGTCGGTGCTTAATTTTTTCATGAATCTCACTCTTGTTTTAGTATCTGGTCACAATTTGCTACGTGGGGTTCGTTATCATTATGGCGATCAGAATAACCCTCTATACAACGTTCAACGGCGCCGATTCACGCGTCCAGTGGGTCGCTGAATGTTCTGCCAAGCATCTAGCATTCCCAGAAGTTCTCTCACAAACGATTTCCTATAATTAAAGCATGTGGATTGCTCAACCGCTAAATTCTTGACTTCAGCTGTGGTCGGGAGGGCTGAGTAACGTTCTTAAAGGAGCAGAGTCTCCTTCATTAGCGAACCAGATTTTGGTAGCAAAATAGTTTGTCAGGCATCGTCAGTTGACATAAATGTATATGAACTAATGGCGCTCATGTAAGGTTAAATATGTTGGCGATTTTTTATTCGCAGGTGGGGATAGACGCACGCACAAATTATGCACCTATTCAAAGACTTCGACCTATTAAATTATGCTGAGCTCAAAGCTGTGGATGAACCTGTTCAGTTAATCAAAGCGTATTCCATGGTTTAAAACTGCGGACAGGGTTGCAGTTAAACTACACCTAACCTAAACTGAACATATACCTAACCTACCTCCATTTAACGCATCCACGACGGTGTATGTGCCTCAGCATTCTTTCAAGATGAAAATGTCTATCGTGCACACTATTCTTGCCCCAACTTATTCAGACTGAAAGCTATACTTGAACTGCCAAAAGATGCAAATGGGTTACTATTGATAAGATTTCTCATCTGTTTAACGCTTAATCTGGATTTATGAACGGAGTTCATTCATAGAGAATTAATTTCATTCGACATGGGGTTCTTCACTTTACTTTCACTTTACTTCAATTTTACTTTGCACAGCAAAGCAGCAGGTAGCTCTAAAGTCGTTTTGAACAACGCTCCTGCTGACTTTACAAATCACTCCTACGGAAAGGGAAACTAAAATAGAGCCGGCGTATTTAATTTCCAGTATCGTCGGGCTCAACACCTGTTAGATAAAAGAAAAGATGTCAAGAAAGGAAAGCCAGTTTTCTAGAGGAATATTTCTTACACAAAGCAATGGTTTGTTCAAAAATAAGAGAAAAGTTTCATTTACTTATTTACCAAACTCGATGAGGATTGCAACCACTCGTAGCTTAATTAGGCCAAATTGTGGTACACGGAAGACCAAAGTTTTCGACACTTTCTTTATTCTATGGCTTCAAGCTTCCGTGACAGACGACGAGCTTCATAATTACCCAGGTACGATGGTAATGGGTCAGGTTCCAATTTAAGGTACAATTCCGTGTCCAAAAAGGAACACAGTATGCTAGGTAGAGACCAAACTGGTTCAAGTATGACTCGATTGCGCTGATCCATGTTCTTAGCTACACTACACCGTTGGCTAGTTGAAGTGGCCATGTGCAGAATCGGCTTTCATGTTTTTAGGTGATCTGGTCGAACAGTTAAATCCGTCGGTACAAAACTGGTTGCCTGGATCCGTTTTATAACATTTGTACTGACTTATTTGCTTGACATCCAGTTAACGAATTGTTTGAGACATTGTCTGCGGATATTCTGCTGGCCGAGGTGTCTCGTTTTACAGCGTTAACTTAGAATGATTCCTACATTTTCTAATTTTATCGACAAGCAAGATATAATTGTTCCGTTTGAAGTTTACTGGACTGAAAACTATATTTCCGCACTGTCTATTCCAACTTCCAGCCAAGTAATCATTTAATTAATGAATTGATTAAGTGCGTTTTCAGTTCCCAGTCGACACCAGGTACACAGGTTACAAGGCCGTAAAGCTGGTTGGGAAAAACGAAGTGGCTAACACACCACCAACAAGAAAAGTACCTTGTTTTGACAGTTGCTAAATCAGCACCAAAGTTATTTAAGCGAGTAGTAGTTTGTTGCTACATTTCGGATGCAATGGCGATGTACGAAATTCAACACGGGATAGAAATATGGTACAAAAAGCTTCCCGTGGGACCGAAGACCAGAGCAGCTGAGTCATTTTTTATTGTTGCTTAAGTTCTAAAGCATAAAAACGGACTTAACGGCGCTGTTCATGAGGCTAGTCCCTCAATAACCTCCTTCTACCGATTTATCAACTTCCTCTGGCTTTGGGCGCGAAATCAAACGCCCCAGTCAGAAGTGAGACTGTTCTATCCCAATGGGATAAAAATGCGGGTGTAGATGTTGCGAGATTTCTGCAGAATAAAATGCCTATACACCGCATGGTATAGAGAGACAAGTGAAAACCCCAATCATTCAGATTAAAGTCTTATTTTTTCACTAAAAGACTGTTTGGAGCGACCCGAAAATGTATGTTCCTACAATACACACCAATCTAAGCACATGATCATATTTCATTTTTCACATTACCTACGGCGTTTAGCTGAATAACCGCGTTATTTGATGCAACACAGGAATGAGGACTTCAAGTCTTCAGATGACAGCCATCTTACTATTATCCGGATGTGATTAAATTGTATATGCGGTCAATGTTATTCATAGTAGACCACGTCCCACCAATGTTAATGTAAGGACATGAATAACAACGGAACTTTACTTTCAGTATTCAGCGCCAACAGTGAATGTCGTACTGGCGCTGCCAACGCGCACCGGCAGAAGTCGATTTGCTTGGAAAAAGCCAAGCAGATCGATAATACTCATTTCTGCAGCGTACAACTCCAATAGGACGCGTAAATCTGCTCAAACTTTCAGAACTATCTGCTGTTCAAAAACTTATAAAATTCGACTCAATCGATTCCATTCAGTTTATCAGCTCATCGATTCTAACTTCTACATTTTGGTCACCAAACGGTGGAAGAGTTTGAGAAAGAGACCCAGGCCTTGGAGATGACGGCATGTTTACTTAGTTTGGGAAATGAGTAGCTACACATTAAAGGTGATAACTTTGATGCATGAGCACCACTGACTGAAATTGGGCCATTTTTGATGGCATCATTAATTATTAGTGGGTTAAGTCCCGTGGTCCCGATCCAGGGAGGCGAGAGTTACCCATCCGACTAAGTTCACTGGTTAGTTTTTTCATACTTCGTTGCCAGTTCATACACTGTCCACCTATCGGTCGGTTCCACTCAGCACAGGGCTGGGAGAAAAGAGCTCCGCGAGGTGGATGGTCTACTGGCATGGGGAGTACAACCGGCCTAACCTATGAAGCGTGACTAATTCGTCTATCGCAGGATAGTTCCTTCTTTATAATACCACCTGGGATACTTCAGAGTTACTAATCCGATGTTTCCACCGAACCTGACCAAAGCTTTTAAGGCACTGATGGCCAAACACTGGCAACTTTCGTGTGTCTTTCGCACGTGGAGGCCACGTCTCTGATCCTTAGAGCAGCTGGACCACACTACCGTGCTGTAAACTTTGCCCTTGACAAAATCGCGTCACGCCATCGCTACAGGTGTCGGTGGCAAACCTGCCGAATAAAGAAATAATCTAATTTCCAGCCAGTCCAAGAACACTCCAGATGAACAAATTTACCTACCACCTCGATTAGCCCATCTAGAAGCATGGCTTCTTGCCCATATGAAAATTTTTAGCTCATACAATTTTGAATTTAAACCTATGTAAAATTAGGATGCATATTTCTATAGGGTCGGACTTGAAACCAGAATAAATACTCAGGTTGGGCATTCACTGGTTTGTCGAAAAGCGGCACCGATGGGCTAACATCTTTCATCCCACAAGTGTTTATGCTGAGTCTGGTCACTCAGACTTTATATCATCAGCATTCCGAACACATCTGATCGGGTTGTAAACCCTTCTTTGGCTTTTATTTACTTAGCTTTCCTTAACTGACTCGGTTATTGAGATGCGCTCATTTAGGTGACCAAAGCCTCCATCCTAGAAACAGCAAGTGAGATGAGGTTTGGTCGATGCAACTATAACAGATTGGCTGCGGACATTCTACAGGTGAGTCTGATAGGCAGTTGAAAAATTCCAACAACCTAGCACAAAGTACAATAAAGTGCCCAGTATGCAGCATTTATTAGGCTGCTTACTTTGCTACCGTATCACAAACCCACAAAAAATCTTTTTTTGTAGGACGTTTTATTCGCCGTTTATTTAGAAGCAATATTGTAAAGAGTTTTGCCTCGTTTTATCTACATGCTTCGTCTTCCGCAGCAGAACTGCGCTATTTTCTATCACAACTAAGAAGCCGAGAATTGTCAGTGGTAAAAGCGCAAGTTTACTGCTTGGAAGATCCATGGTTGGAACCTGACCTTGGCCTTTTGTCTTTCCCTGTCTAGGCTCGGGCAACCTGTCAGTATCCCAACCCCAGTATCCCCTCGTGCTTCCTTTGGGTGGCGTGGTAGCTGGACTATGTTGACGCAAACACCACGCTAGGACTGCACAAAAAAAGAGCCTGGGACTAAGTACTTTGTGAAAAACAGTGCCGAAATTCGGTTACACGAGCTTCAAATCTTAAAACTGGCACATCACTCCCGCCATAGTATCTACGACATACAAGTGTACAAGTACACCCAACCGAGTTAAATCTTCAAATGTTACTTAAAACATAATTTTTGATTTTCTCTGAAAGCGCTAGAGAATCATGCTTTTATTGGTCAGAAATTTGGAGTCATTTTCCAAAGTAGAGAAAACTGGAAGATGAATAAGGAATACAAAAATTGGCCGTCGTACTTTAAGCCTCCCCAGACATGTTTCGGTTTGACAATGCCGTGTCGTGAAATTCTTGAGATTATGGCGGTATGTCACTCACTAATTTAAAACTAACACTGCTATTCATGGTTAAGCCAACTTTTCCCAAAACTTTATCATCGTAGTCAAACAGTGGATTTACATTTTCCTCCACAAAGCCAACCAAATGACGAAGCTTACACGTTTGAAACATTATGAGTTCATGTTATAAGGCAGCTTGTATAATCCGGGAAGAAACAAACGCAATCACGAAGTAGGCATTCCTCCTCAAAAAACGGACAAATTCCTTTGTTTTACTCAACCTATCAGTGGCTTACAAGCCCGGCAAAATATTCATTTATTTAGCCATAATCCTCTAAGGAGTATCAAAAACCCATTATATTCATCCACAATATCCCTACGACGAACAGTCTGGAGGACTAAAGTGCACTTATTTGACTGATAATGTGTCAGGTGTGCCATGGTATATATAACATGGAATAACTTAATAGAATAATACATTGGACTCAAGTTTAA